CATTCAAGCCTTTAGAATTCTATCATTTATTACAAAAAAACATATTAGAGTGCTTTTCATTGTCCGTTCGTAATAAAAACGCTGAATCGAATATAACTTATGTTAGTAGCCACGCAATTTGTCGATTCCTTTGTCGCTTTTGGTCAGAATCAGAACGAAACTAGGATAAAATAACAATTCATACTCTGGATAGCTTTCATAGTTATGACGGTCAGTAAAGTTTTATTAAAACACTTAAACTTCATTAACTGTTATAAATTATGTGGTTCTTATAATTCAAAATAGGCAAACCACGCGCATAAAACATATTTGGAGCATAAATTTTCATTAACTAAACTATTTTATGAAAAATATGTACCTCCTTATTAACAAAGGAGGAATAAGCTTAGACTAGTTATGCCGTGATTTTCGGCGTAAATCGTTGTAATTTTGTAATTCAATGAGCATAGAAAAAACATTGAGTATCTAAAGAAAGTAAATTCATGATAACAACAAATGATACACATAATTACATAAGAAGAGTGCGGAAACAATCCATTGGAACACGTCGACGGTAAAAACAAGCGTGACGCCTGCATCCAATCCCGCGGCAATAGGAAAAGTTTGAATCGATTCACGGCGAGACTCTCACGACAGACAAGCACGACTGCGGTTGCCACAGTTGATGACGATAATTGTAATTAGGAAGCTAAGGAGAAGAAAGGTTTACACATAAATTATTCGAGGCTATAACAATTTCAGTAGTTGAATTAGTTTTGGACTGACAATGACCAGTGTCCAATTTAATAGGTACAACAATAAAACATTTGAATTTCATACATCAATTCGTCGAATTACAAAAACAAAAAAAAAATAACAAAGTAATATAAATAAAAATACAATATCAAGGAAATTTAAGTTGAGGAAACCCAAGTTAAATGCAACCGTGAGAACTTCTTCGCGCTCTTTGATTTTCCTACGACATACCTACAATATCTTGAACATTCTGTTTTCTGAGAATACAATAGAAATACGCAGTGGAAATTTGAATTTCGATGATATGCTTTCTTTCCCATTGAAAAAAGTTTTTTTTTGGGTTATATCTACGAGATCCTATCAAGACCCGAAATCAGTTTTTACTAACAAATTTCAATTGAAAAAAAACAGCATATTCTATATTTCTCCCGATTTTGAGCCTGCAGTAAACAACAAAAAAATATTGGAAGTAAACACAAGTTAAAAATAAAAATTAATAAAGAATAGGAAGAAAACCCCGCTAATAACTATAATGTTACTGAGCATGAAAAATTAAAACAATGTATTAATAAAGAGGGAATAAATAAACGACAAAATAATTATACTAAATATATTCTCTGAGTGTAAAACTTACTAATAAAAACCTTAGCAAATCAGTAGAAATGGCGGATTAGCATCACGCAACACTTGCAATCAGGGTCTTCAAGGTGCAATCTAAAAACAACCCTAAACTTAACTGTACAGAACAGTTTTTGAAGAACATCAAGTGCCAACAAGAGTTAGGATTGCCTTTTAGTATTCTGCCTGCGAAAGAAAAGAGATGGTGCTATTATAATCCAACACTGGAGAGAAAAGTGAAGGTGGTGTGAGTGTACTTTTAGAATCGATAGTCTAAAAGCATTCATAATGCTTCTGATATTCTGATGTCATACGTGGATTTCGCGAGATGAATTGTTTATGGGATCGGGGCGCAGGGAATTCTCATGTCTCCAAAAAGGGTCGGTGAACCAGACAAATTACGACAGCGAGAATTTGCTCCCCTACTGCTCTGTCAAATTGACGAGCAATGTGCGCATTTAATCGCATTATTTGCAGGATTTGCATCAGTGAAAATTTGGACGTTTTTTAGTAGATGATAGGGAGAAGTTTTCAGTTTACACTAATAATAAGATAGGGAGTTGTATTTGGACAAGGACATTGGAATTTTTACTTGGGTATTCTCAAGGTTAATTGGTAAATTTCTAACGATTATATGATGGATAGCTTAGTAGCTATAATGTAACTTCAATAAATTTACATTACAGTATTGCGACAGCTTTTAAATGACCTTTTCAATTTTGTAAATAAACCGTTATACGAATATGTTTATATAACCATTATATTGTATGTTGATATCTGACCCAAAGGTAAATTTCATTGTTCATAATGCCATATTTTTTTGCCTTAATTGCTATTTGCTATTGTCAGCATAAATCCTCCTAAGACATTTAAGAAAGCATAGTAATGCCGAGAGAGGGAGAGTCTAATAACCGAAAACCTTGTGCAAAGGGTCAAAGTCCCCTTGATTTAGAAGCAACGTGTTGAGATTGGTGAAGCAAACACGGCCATCTAAATTATAGGGGAGTGTATTGGTGGCATACGAGATGAGCAATATCGGCCATTTCACGGTGCGCCGTGACATGCATTCGAAATGCACAAAGCACTAAATCTTTCTCTGCGACTGACTGCCTTTATGGACGTTGACACACAGTTCTATGTTGGCGCACAGAATTTCTCTTGCTCTATCACATCACTTTATTTTATTACATGACTTAGGAACTTATCCTTGTTATAAATGTATATTTGCGCGCAAGACCAAGCTAAAAAAACAATTATGAAATGTTGAGTCAAATGTGTATTATGATGATTACATAAAGTGGACTTTTATATAGTTTTGAGATAATAACTTTAGTTAGTTTTGGATTTAGTTAACGGTGGTTTAAGTAAGGTATTCCAATAAATATAAAAAAAAATAAGACTTTCGACTGACTGATTTTCAATTCGTGAAAATCAAAAGCTTTATTTAAACAAAGAACCAAATTTACACGTGACGTGCGTGGGTGGTGCCGTCAGCGTGATATTAACTTGAACCAATTCAATTAGAACCGGAGCCCTCACATAAATGCGAAGGCATTCGCCTATTTATTTTAGTCATAGGGACGTAAACTGAAAGCTCGGGGTTTTCGAATAATTGGTCGTGTTCAAATATTACATCACCCCCATCTACGAATGGATCACTGCGCAGTTAACGGTCCATTTCACTTTAGCTTTGTTTTGAGAAAAATATTAATATGCTTCCTTTGTTCGTCTGTGAATTCAACTTTTTCATTTTGATAAAAATGTTTTACATAGGTACAATGTAAATATAGTAATGAAATGAGTATTGCAGAATTCATGAAGCGAATGCTGTTTTTTTTGCTGACGACTTACGTGACCTTGAACTGAAAAATAAAGCTCTTTGTTAGTAACACACGGGTAACATTTTCGTTAAAAAGTCGGTTATAATAAGAGTATACCATCTGAGAAACTGAAGGTAAACCAGTAATAAGACAAAGACTAATTTGATCTTAACGAAATTAAAGCCGACAAGATTTCTTGAGACCTTGACACGACCTATCCTTGAAGTTTCTAGACGAGCGTCTCGAAGGCAACGCTTTATACATTCTTACAAGATTCTTACGCTTCACGAGGTTTTCTCAGTGATTTCAAGAAAATTAATCTTCGTTTTTATTTTGACCTTCGAACATATTTTTAGAAGATTTCATTTATTTACCTACGCCATAGCAGTTTCATAAAGGTAGAGATTACATTCTCACGATGTCAACACTATTATTTTGTCCTACAATTCTTCATTTTAGGATTCCCTTTGACAGATTCGTTTTAAATTTCACAGAATGTACATTTCTTATGCTGCTTTAATATGAAAAACAATAAAAGAGAACGTTTCATGAACAGCCCTTATCCTATGAAAGTAAGGTATCTTTTGTACAATGGTCAAACGAACTAATTCACGTAATATACAATTTGCATCCCGTCTGAATGTAGGTAAACATGTTTTAATGGCAAAGTCGTCGAGATAAATTACACTTCCCATGTTAGTGGACTAAAACTAAAAGCTAATTATCTCAAACACTTGTAACTGCGGTGGCGGGCGGGACTAAATTAGAAATTCACGAGGAGTTTTAAGCCGGAGTGTATCCTTTATATGTAGATCGTCTACGTGTAGTGTTCCGTTTTAGTCCAACTCAAACATCCCCCGATTAACATTAGTTTAAAACAATGCAGAGAGAACTAAGTTCTTAGCACGCCACTGTTTCTATTCCAATATTCAAATGAGCTCACTGGTGCAGAAACCCGACCGTTTTGAACTGAGCGAAACGTTAACAACTTGAATTGCCGACGGCCAAATGCCTGCATTCCGGGTCACCCTTGAATTTTATGTAAAACTTAAATTTGTTAAAGACTGTATATTTCTTCATTAATTAACAACACCACATAATATAACGTTTTAGAGTATAAAACAATAATACCGAAACATAAATTTCCATTCTGGCCCATTATAAGATTCCGAGAACACTGATCAACATTTCTGTTTATTCTTACTAGAATAGCGTGGGTGAAGTTAGTCATGTATGCCGTATTTAGTATCAAAAAGGATGGTTCGGGATAATGCTAGCGCGTGCGTCACCGTCGCCCGCCATGTTGTCGCGGCAAACAACGGAAATAAACCACGGACCGATGTCCAAACTACACTTGCACCTTCTGTCATCAAACACTATGGCTGACCATTCTAAAAAGTTTAGCTCGTAAGAGGACTGCTGGACTGTACGTTGATCGACCCCTCCCCTTCTAATTTGAAAATGAGGGAAAATCTGTTCTCTATTTTGTCTATCCAATTGTGAAGTTGTGTGCATATTTAATTAGTTCACTATTAGTTTACAAGTCTAGCAAGAGATGTATTTTATTGAAGCAGTTCAATTTAAACGATTCCATCTTAATTAACCAGAAATCGGAAAGATATTCTGTTATTTAATTACAAATAAATGCTCATATAATTATAATAATTTATACAATCTTTCATTTGGCTATCAGGATGTTGCTAGATCTAACTTTTGGCAGCTGGTTTGAGCTTTTCTTTTTCATAAAGCTCAGACAAAAATGTAATAGAAACTTTTGTAATAATGACTTACTAGCTAAAGTTAAAAAGAGTTGTTTAACAAACTTACTTGGAGGTTGGAACGTGATCTCCTCGGCATCACACCCACCACTTCCCCCCGCATAATGGATTCGATTACTGAAAAGAAAAATGGAAACTTAATGACTTTTAAGACAGTTAATAATAGATGAAGATAAAAACATAATATGTAGAACATTCCTCAAATGTAGACCTTATTTTTAGAAAGCTACTATCCTGAAGTCCTCTATGCAGTATCGATCTTGCTGGATTCAGCATGCGGGACATCGCTATACACATTAAAGAGATGGAGATACAGGATCTCTTTTACTTGTATAGCTTTGTCCCGCATGCTGAACCCCGCAAGATAGATAGTGCGTAGAGGACTTAAACCTAAGATCCTAACAATGAAAAATTGTTTTTTTATAAAACTTCACTTGTTCTACAGAGTTATGTACAAGGTAAAGAGTTTTTTTAATGTTTATATAGCGTTTCATATGCTTGAGGTGTTTGTCTTTACAAGTGAACTGGTAGGGCTTCGTTCAATCCAATTGTCGCTAAAAGAGTTAACTCAATTTTATAATACAACACTAATACGAAGATTTTTACTTTATAAGTAGGCTAAATACAAGCGATATTCAGACTAATGTACATTAATATAGCGCTATGTCATATTAATTACTGAATATTAATACATTCTGATATAAAATTGAATACGGCATCTATCTAATTTGTCAAAGGTTAAACTTTAATTATGTTTAGATGCAAGGAATAATAGTACATATTACATATTTTTAAAGACTCATCGTATGTTTTTTTTTTAGGTCACCGGTTATCTTTCAAGCTGATTTGTCGAGTCGTGATGAGGTCACAAAGGAATTTCAAAATTATATTGTAAATATGTCTCAGGCAATGATTTGCCTTATTTTTTATCTTAATCGTTTATATCAATGCTCTTGACTAAATAAAAACGAAATACATATACAGATAATTGTTTCTAACGTTTCATTGAATTAACAAGCACGACGACGGCGCGGCGACGTACGTGGAAATAATATTACAGTAATTGATTGGTTATTGTTCTAGGCAGCAGCGAACATTAACTGATACATAATATATTATGTGCCTAAGTTACATAACTAGTGCTATTGTTATCATAATTTTATTATCACAACTATATATGTTAACCCCCAAACACATCGCATTGTTTGTGAACATTAACTTGCTTTGAAATTTGTACCGATTGAAATTCTATAGCATCATTAATAGTATCCTACTAATACAACGATATTAAAAATCGCTGTATTAATATCATAAATGTGAGATTTTCTATGTTTGTTACTCAATCACGCAAAAACTGCTAAACGGGTTGAAATTTAGAACACATTTAGTTAATGACCTGGATTGACACATAGGATGCCTAGATTTTATCCTGGAAAAATATTAGGTTCCCATAAGATTCTCAAAAAAACTAAGGTATTGAAATAATACGCCCATTGCTTGGTTACTAAAATACTCATTAAGAGACAACCTAAGGAGGATAGTCTATAACGAATTGTCTGATGCGTCCAAACTCCAAATGTCAAAAGTTCCATTAGTACAGAAAAACTAAAAAAACACTCGATGCGCAATTGTTTCTTTTGAGGACAATACAGGACATGGATTTGATTCGATTATTCACAATTTTGTGGTTGGTTTTCAACATGACATGCGACGCTAATATTCGTCATACAATACTTTCTACAATTTAATTATAATCATTAATCACACATTGGTGAATTAGATAGGTACTGTATATTTTACGTTCTTAATTTCCACGTCACTAAACGTATATTAATTTAAAATGAATATAAAATTCTGTTTGAGCTGAATCACGAATGTGGGAAACAAACCGCAAATCTCTGAATATTCATCCAAGTTCTCCGAAAATTACCAAAAGCTGATGTTTTGTTTCCATGGTAGGTAATATTTAGAACACTAGCGGCCGCCTGCGACTTCGTCCGGAACATAACATTTTTTTTTCCGGTATAATGTTGTCTTATTCCAGGCCTTAAATTGATAATTGTTCCAAATTATATCCAAATGTGTTCAGCCCTTTTTGCAATTTGAGTAACAAATATAAAAACAAACCTTCACATCGTACTCATATTATAAATGAGAATATGTAATTGTTTCTCGATAAAAAAAATAAAAAATCTTTTATTGCAATTCTTTCAGTTTTCTTTGAAAGTGTAGTACAGAATTAATATTTTATTAGAGTCCTTTTTATTTCGAAAGTATATCTTGTGTGCTTAACAAGTTATTGCAATTTTAAAAGTGTGATACTTAGTTTTGCAGGCCAGTGTAGTATATGACTTGGATTGAGACATATGATACTAATATAATAGATTAATCAGTAGATTTGCGAACCGATGACGTAGCTTTTTGACATTCACAAGTGCTTGTAACAGCCTAGACTGAATAAACGATATTGAATTTTGATACTTTCTGTCCCGGAAAAATGTAGTATACACGTGGGATTCTCAAAAAAACTAACGCGGATGGAGTCGCTGTTGATAAATAAAAAGAAGGTAGTTTTAATGTTGAACATTTAACAATTTACAACTAACGACAGTATTTTATTTACCAGTATTACTCAAAGATGGCGGCCGCTAGTTTATAATATTATATAAGTTGGAAAGGATTATACGTCAATAAGGTTTACCTCCGTCTCCAAGAAGCCTCATTTGCACGAGGGCGGGGTCCTCGCTGTGCTCCTCCAGCACCGTGTCATCAGTCACTGTCAGCTCCTGCGAAAGAATGGACAGTTAATGTGAGGGATCGGGGTATGCTTTCTAAACTATTTCTCATATATGAGAACAAGGACTTGTTATATATAACAACATTGACGTACCTCGGTACCTAATGCTCTACTATAGAATACCAAAAATTTTGGAATTAAACAGCAACAAGAGTGCAGTTGAGGAGCTTGATGGCGCAAGTTGTTGTAGTTAAGCAACTTTCGCAGTGCTCGGTCATTGGATGGGTGACCAAAAATTTACTATCTTGAGCTCTTACGTGCTTCAGAAGGCACGTTAAGCCGTTGGTCCCGGCTGCATCTGCAGTCGTTAGCACTCACCAATCTGCACTGGGCCTGCGTGATGGGTCAGCACCCAATCGTCCTATTCCATCCCTAGGGAACGCCTGTGCTCCAGCAATGGAAACATTAATAGGATCAGTGATAATGAGAGTGCAAGAACAATTACGCTGAAGCTAGTGCTCAAACTTAAGGTAACCCAACGAGCAATGGAACGCGCAATGCTGAATATCTCGCTTGCAGTTCGTATATTTAACCTGGAAATCAGGGAGAGCTCTAAAATGGTGGCCGGCTTTAAATGGAGATGGACAGGCACTTGAATAGAAGAAACGAGAATCGATGGACTCGTTTAATGGTCAAATGGAGACCAAGATCTGGTCGAAGGAAGGTGGGAAAGTAAACTTTGCGTTGGACTGATGACATAACCAAAATAGTGGGCCAGTCCTGGATGCGCGTAGCGAGGAAGCAAGTCGCGTGAAGGACCATGGATAGGGAGCAACCCGATAATTCGTTTATTCGATTCAAACTTAACCAGGTCAACTGGTTTGATAGGTAGTCTAATTTTAAGTTCACTAGTAGAAGTATTTATAAACCATACATTCTGATAAAAACTAATATTATAGCATTACTGTCGTTCTATAAAAATGTATCATTCATTAGCTCATTTTATCAGTTCCAATTGAAACTGACAGTCTTTCCACACTTGATGTAGGCATAATTTAATCGTTTCTTATTTTAAAAAACCCAACGCCTTTCATTCTTAAGATAGCAGACGTCGCACCTGTTTTATAATACTTACTCTAATACTTTTCATGGAATAATCTATCCTTTTAGTTTGTACACAACTCAGCAGGTGTTCCTATTCGTAAAATAAACAAGATTGCCTGGATTCCTACCTGAAGTTTCTCACGGCCAGTTTCAACCGAGTTGCTGCTAGTAGCATGTCTGTTTTATATTAGTTTCACAAGAACACCTGTGTTGGTGTTTAGAAATCCTGCTGGCAACATCATTATTTAACTCTCAAATATCAGCATAAAATTATTGATATCCGATAACTTAATAACAATATACTCTGCTAATTGTGTATATTATATTATATCATAAGCATTGTGTATCCTATTAGCGTTTTCCATGAAATATAGATAATTAAATAGATTCTACTCGTATGCCTGTCTATGGAAATTGTAATCAATAGCAAAATATGAATTTAATGAGATAGTTATGTAATAAAATTTTATCCCTTTAGTAAACAAGACAATATGTAATCCTTCGTCGTATCGACAGAAACAACAAATTACTCTTTGGCATTCGCTCGATAAACATGTCGTTGTGCCAAAAGACGAAGTTGGGAACAAACTTGTAAGAAACAAAGAGGGAACTTCGCGAAAGTTGCTGGATCCAGGAAAGGGGCGAATAGGGAGGTTACTCAAAACTTTGACGTCTCGGACGCCAGTAATACGAACCAAGTTTCCAGTCGCTAATTCCCAGTATAAATTTGTTTAACGGTTCAACTTTTTAACTGTAATTACTTAGCAAAGTTCGGAATAGATTGAAGTGCTGCTTATCTAACTTCGACCGAAAGTTTTGATGAGCAATTCAATTATTATTGTTGCAATTTGGTATACACTGGCAGCAGATAGACAAATGATAAATAATTTTGGTCATTCGACTGGCTTCTATAATTCATTACTTAATTAACAAGCACAGTCGTTTTTTAATAAATACACTCAACCGCAAATACAGTTTATTTACCCGCTAGTACTTAAGGACTCTGATTCGATTTTCTCAAAAAGTATAAAATTTATAATTATCAACGCTATAGCTACATAAAGTGAGTTTCATAATGATTAATATGAGAAAAAAAATCTTAATTATAGTTACTGCCAACCTTCTATGTAGTCAAGCAAGAAAAGCAATGCTAACAATTTGCAATTTTTTTGAATATACTCGTAGTTACGATTGTGGGTTCTTCTTTAATAAAATGAAGATAGCCTGATACTTCTTATAATTTCTTTAGTGTTTGTTAATACATAGTTTTTTTAGACGTGTGTATTTTTGCAACGTTTTTTACTAACGACTCTTGTTCAGAAAATTCTTAATAAATTGATGAATCTCAATAAATTTCTGTTCATTTTAATCATCCTGAAACGCACTTTCTGTAGATATAACTTTGATAGTTGGAATTTTTATACTTTTTGAGAAAAACAATACTTTTGAGAAACATTCTCTTAATTTGGTTATCAAAGAGCTATTTGCGTTAACGTGAATTCTAGCATTAAAGATTGTAATTGTAAGTGCATTATAAATTTCTTTAAAAATGGGTTTATCATAACAGCTGTATCGTTAAAATTATCTTAACTCTAAATAGAGTACCAATGCATAAATCGTGACAAAACTCTAACCCCCTTATTAATAAACGAAGAATACGCTTAGCTAATCCATGTTTTGTCTCTGTTAATGGCATGACAAATGGCATTTGAGTGACATAAACAAAACACAGCGTAAATAGTCTATGCTTATTTCCTCGTTTATTAATATAAAGGTAACTAGACATTGAAAACCCTAAAAGAATAAAACTGGAAACAAAAGCTCTTACTTAAAGGAGAGGTAAGAAAAACTGTAAACAGTTTAATACGCAACGTTACGTAAAACAAAAACTTTTCAAATAGAAGTTCTGGGATCGCGTGCAGGGAGAAAGGGGTGGACGGGTGCTGGGAGCCAACGCGTTAGTTATATGTAAGGAGAGGCAATGCTACAATAAATGGATGGGGTGATATATTTCTCATAACAACTTGGTATGAAAGTAATAAATTAACTTGAGTATAATTTGCACTCGTTCATTACTGTCGTATCGTATTGATGAGTTGTCTATGAAATCATGAAATTAAAACGACATTTAGTATAGTTTTTCATAGCAACATTAACTTATAATAACACTTTTGGTAACGATGTTGTTAGACAGCTGGTTTCTCTACTCGACTGGTGATCTTCCATATTATTGATACTGGTAATAATATAATATGTTAGACGTATAATTAGTTCATTGAATGTATGCGAGTAAAAAATAAAAAATATATAGTTATTATAATTATGTATTGCCCCTTGTCCAGAAGAACTTGCCTAATTAATAGTAACAATAATCTATGACGGGTAGGTATATAATAATTACAAAATAGCATTTTTCACACAAAAATGAGTAAAAACGTATAATAATAATACATTATTATGTTGCAACAGAAAAAATTTAAGAAACCGGTAAAACTTTCCTTTGCCAAGTATAATTCCATAATAAATAATAAAATCGGTGACCATTATCTCAACGTAAATAAATACATACAATTAAATTCAGCGACCCAAGTAACGAGCAGACTGGTTCTACGCCCTTAAACGGCATAGGCCATTACCCCATTTTAGGGCGCAATTAATAAAATCGAAGACAGGTGGAAAGTTCAGCATTCCATTTCGCCTTTTTATGGCGAAGTACGAGGCAGCCCGCATTTAGCAAGTTTCCTTGTGGGCTTAGTGCACGGGGCAGGCTGATTCTTATACATGCCCTTATAAATACCTCGTCGTTGCCGCGTAGGATGCCTCGGCGTTCAATAAACCAAACTGGTTCCAGAACTTCCCGCTCCGGAATGATATAGTAGAATGCTTTTACAGTTAGATGAACACGGAGTTTTTAATGCTCACAGCTGCTCTAGCTCGCTTGCTCCGATATTATCGACGACGCTAACTAATATGAATCGTAAATAATGATGATGGCTAATAGTGAGCCTCCGTGTAAGTGGGTAATTTTATTCATGTGAGCAAAAAATACGGTGAAGATATTGACCCGTCTCGTCGATGGGTTTATTTCGTAAGCCTCAAGCGTTACATCAGAGGTGGGCGTGGGCGTACTCATAAATACATATAGAAAACAACTGAAAATTACTATAATACCTTTTACTTTATGGGATGTAAGACACTGTAATACTGGGACGTAATTACAATGGGTTCACTGAATTCAATTAACTTGCATATTTTGCAACCAGTGAAGATAACTCAAACGATTTTAGAAGAAAGGACAATTTAGGATTTTGTTCAATGGTAACAGGATTATAATAAATTATTGCACCTTATTAAAATACATTGTATTGCGTGTATGTATATGGAGTAACATTAAAAATTATCATATTAGAGACATAAGGATCAAGAGGTGACTGAACTAAATATTGATTAGATTGTTACTATGTAAATTACTTACAATATAGTTACAATCAGACCTAGATGTAACTTTTGTTTCAGTACTTATCGGTTATTCAGCTGCGCAATTTTTGAAATCAAGAATTAAAATCTACATTTAATTATTCAATTTATTTTATCATAATAATGGCAATACAAACTCGAAAAATAAGGAATGTTCATAACAACAATAATGTAGCCCCAGTATGAATTGAAATCTACACACACAAACGACTTATGTTTCTTCAACTGACATTATTGTTAGTCATCCTCATCACAGTCATTCCAATACGCAATCTAAAAGTCAGAATGAGTGGTAGCATGTTGCATAATTCGACCTAAAGGATGACTCATCGCCATTTGCCTATTAATGTCCCCACTGCGGGGCAAAGGGCTGAATAACATAGGGGGGAGATTAGGACTTAACCCGAAGACGACACAGATGCAGCTGGAAGTAACGACGTAACTTTCCCTAGGACGGACGAATTGACATAATTGTCAATTTATTAATTATAAACATCGATTACATCGATTACTTTTATCAACAGGCTAGAAGTAGCTCAGAGGGCAATACAGAGAAAACTAGTAGGAGTCACATTAATGCACTGCAAAACAAATAAATGGCTCCGAGCACAAAGCAAAGCTGTAGATTTAACGATACGAGTAGCGCAGCTCAAATGGAAGTGGGCTAGACATATAGCTCGAAAAGAAAATTCGTGGGGCAAACGTCTCCTAGAATAGAAGCCGTGGGGTAAGCAAGGAAGACCACAGATGTGCTAGAAATATAACGCGAAGAAGGTTGCTGTGAAGTGAAAAAAGTGCAGAGAAGTGAAGAAGGTTGCGGAGATGCCAAATCTATACCTGGCTCGTGCACCACTGAACAGCACCAGCCGCTCTGGTCACCTAAGCTCTGCACTCGCCGAAGACAGAGGGCGTCGAGGTCCGAAACCTCTGGCCGACCTGCGTGGTCCGCTATTGAGCAACCTCCATAGACAGAGCTACCAAATCTACACCTGGCTCGACAACGTACCCCAGTGTGCTCGTTGACTCCGACGATGACAGCCGTGTACCATTGAGTAGCCCCAGCAACTCTGTACACTTGAGCTCTGCACCCGCCGAGAACAGAGGGCGTCGTAGTCAAAATCCTCTGGCCGTCCTGCGTGGTCCGCCATTCAGCGGCCTCGTTAGACAGAGCTGCCATATCTACACCTGGCTCCGAGCCAGCGAGATGGATGTCCCATTCCTGTAAAAAGGAATTACTCGTAAGAACGCCATCGATACAGATATGGTGAACAAATTAACCATATAAAGATTGGTTTGACTTAGATACATAATAATTTTATAGATGACGTCACACCGTTATTCTACTTTTTACTGCAGATTTTTGGCACTAGTAGTAGTTTATCACTGCCCTATTTTACCAAGTCGACATATGTCACTGACATATGTTATCGTAGTAAGTTTGTTGTGGGGTGATCTATTAATATCAAAATTTTCTTTGAACGCAAAATTAGCTTGGTATAGCTGAGGAGAAATTATTCGTTCTTTTTAAAATTTTCTTGTAGGATATTATAAATTTCAAGCTTTCTTGGTGAACCATTTTGTTACTAACATGGAAAACACTAAAATTATAATGCAAATTTTACACAACCCCGATTTCATGTCAAGAATTACAGACAATTTGTCAAATATGTAGACTTAAAAAAATAACTTGTTTTCCAACATAATTGTCGTTAAAGTAAGATGCAAATGACATATGTCACTGACACATGTAGACTTGGTAAAATAGGACCCAGGATTGAAAAAACTATTAAAGATAAATTAAGTTATTTTATTACATGTATGCGTAATTATATCTAAACAATTGCATTTGCATTGCACTGCCAACAGCGAACTTTGTACATATATTTTTCTTAAAATAAAGGTTTTGTCGACCAAGGTAGAAAAATCATACCACTTTGTTACCAGTCTCAATATTTTTATTGAACAGCTTTATTCACTCATTAGAACAAAAATAATAGCAAACCGAATTTCAATAACAATAATCTTTCTTTCTTATGACTGTTGTGCACTTTTGTTTCGAAATAGTTGTGTAAAAATATTTATACGTGTAAAAAACTTAGGTTTATATATATATTTATAAATATATAAACATGTACATCATACGTGTAAAATATCTTAGCAAAAAATTTAACATTGGTAAAAATAAACATTATCCTGAATCTAATATACCTGTAATTTATGAATCAATTGTTCAACTGAAATCGTAGATCCCTATACGTACAAATAGGGACAAAATAACACAGTTGTTCAACAGTAACAAAGTTGTTTCAATAGGACATTCTCTTTACCAGTAAAATGCTTTTCAGTCTCTTAGTTACAATAAAGGTTGAAAATAATAATTTTAAGTTTCTGGATCTGGCCACTTACAATAAAATAATAAAAAAATCATTATGTAATTCGAAAGAAGAACTCATTACTTATTAATTTGCGAGACTGCCATTTCTTCTTGCATTGTGTCGTCCTTTCAAAAAATTGTATGTTGCTATAAAAATTAATTTAACTCTTGAATATTTTATGGCTGGAGTTAGCGGCATGATGTTCTGTAAAAATTAAAGCATAGTATTATTATACTTATTTTACCTTTAGTAATTATAGTAAGCAAGTAACTAAATATTATAAAATTGATAAACATACAACAAACATAGGTCGCACTAGATTCAAACAAATCAAGATACATAAGATTGAAATAAAACAGCGACAAATATGTGCACTGTGTTACCAACTTTACAACTGCGTTACCACGTCGGAGTAACGAAATTGACATAACCGTAACACGGTTGTATAATAACATGATGTTACCTGATATTTACCAAATTACGTTGTGATGTGCAAAAGAACACAATCGTATGACATAATTTGCAAGTCTCAATACTTTAATGTAAAAGTGAAAATACTTACCTCTCTGCCGGGTAACACAGTGCACACCAAATAATCAAACGCGACTCCATTCTCAACATGGCGGCGAATGCAGTTGTCATTCACAACCTAACGAATCGGGAATGTGGCCAGCGGACAGTGACATCTAAAAGTTAAATGAAAAAATACCAGTAAAATGTGGCACCGTATTGATCATTAGAGATAATTACTATTTTAAACTAAACAGTTTAAAAATATAATTAAGTTAACCTATCAAAGGCGCAAATTTAATGTCATATTAAAAAAAATATACTAAGCTGAGCTTTAGGTCGGGGACATGAATGAATGAATGAATGAATGAATGAATGAATGAATGATTTATTTATTTTCTCTCACAAAGTCACAAAGTAACATTATAGTTAATTAAAGGGTATTGAATGACAAAACAAAACAGTAATAACAATGCAGTTCTTTGTTACGTTACTATGGAAAACAACTATGTAACCACGAACCTCGACTTTGTGACCCAACATTATCTTAAAATATTCAAATACCAAAGTTTTTAGAAATAATGCAGCAGTTTCATATAAAGCATACGTTTTATTTTATTTTCTTAAGCAAATTACAGTTTAAGATTTTCTTTACCGGGGGACACAAGAATCTGCAGTAATAGAATGGACCCAGATAGCAAAACTATAATCCGTTTAAGATTTAAACCACTTTATAATATTGCCAATCCATGTAGGTAGATAATTACATTATGCTCTAATAAAGAAAATACAGTGTATGAAATCTTTCAAAGCGATGATTATTTAGAAAAAACATTTCAGAATAAGACAAGGGTATTATTACAAATAGGCTGCGTAGCTTTGATAGCGTAAGTGACTCTCGATGAATAAATTAAAGACGATTATATAGAATATTCCAGTGAACTCTGTATACTACTCAGTAAGCGGACTGAATGACCTCTCAATTCGTAAAATAAGATAAGGAAATTCTATGAATAAAATTATCGGGATATGTTGGTAATGTAACAATCTTTAGATAAGATTAAGATAGCTTATATCGCGACATATTATTTATATACAAAAATACAGTACCCGTAGCAGGCGACAGCATTGACATGTATTTTTCTTATAACCCACGTTGACATGACAGTACATAACTCCGTCTAAGCGTGATTGCGCGTCCATAAATAGTGTAATTAAAAGAGTTCGATCGTTAGCTTTACGACCTCGTATCAGATGTAAACGCTATGGCCTACATTATCGGACACCCACAAATCAACATCAATGCTAGTCGCACGCGTACATCGTATTAAGTGTAGCAATAACTCAGTGTAGGTACCTATAGGTTTGTACGCCGTTATAGATAGATGCATGCATGCGTACACACGCGCGCAGTAGTATTTATGTCAATGTTACAGCATAGCAAGTATTATATAGACTGTGTGTGTGTTAGCACACACTAGAGAACACGCACACCTGTGCCTGGGCCTCGAGCATACGAGCCTGCCCGCGCCGGCGACAGACGTATCCGGTGCGTTGAACCCGCGTCTCCCCTCTCCATCCCCCTTGCCTCACTGCTATATACTACTTTAACCGACTGTTCGCTAACTAACGTCGTTGGTGATTCAGGGTCCCTCGCTTGTTTGAAGAAATGCTATCATGTAATTTTTCTTCATTATTGTCTTGACAGAGAAGGACAGATAACTTAATGGTTATTTAATGATAGTATTAAAAACTATCCACTGCGTTCTTAATTACTGGTACAGCCACTGTTCAGAAACTGTTTAAAAACAAATATAGCTGCTAATTTGCCATTTTAAAATCACAAGTTTACTTTTATTAATGAACGAATGTTAAAATGGAATGTTTTATATGTATCTAGTCCTCATCAATTTTAATGTAATTTGATGAATATTAACACTGTGCTCAATAGTGTATAATGAAACGATGTTACAAAGAGATCAACAGTAGATAATGAAGACAAAGTATTCTCCCATGCCATTTATGATTCACGGCCACGAGTTACGAGTGGCGTTGTAATCTTGGTTTGTTGTGGTCACGCTCGGCGGTCTTGGTGACTCAGCAAGCGCACGGTTAGGTCAGTCCACGGGGAGCACAAATGAAAGACGTACACTGATTTTATTATCATTGAATGTAAAACTCAGCAAGCGGACGGTTAGGTCAGTCCACGGGGAGCACAAATGAAAGACGTACACTGATTTTATTATCATTGAATGTAAAACCTTATAGAGAGTTCGAATAGTATATCTTTTTAATCTACTGAATACATACCAAAATTTAAACAATGAAGCCACAAATAACATTGCCGTTGAACACATCAAACTTATTCTTCGAAAGGAGATGTTAATACACACAATTGGCTCTAAACAAACATAAAGTACATTTAGATCCACTCCGTATATTAATCCTATTCGTAATTACAGAACTCTGTAGCTCATGCTATTTGTATATGAGACAAGTGTTTAGTAAGTACATTTACAAATGTAACATTAAAATATATCGTAGTAAGTAGAATTTTTAGCTGTATCACATTATAGAATGAGTAGCATTCTTTATTTTCATCCTTGAGGCCCAATAAGGGTTATAAATGTTTTGGTAAAAAATTCTTTAAATCTATAAAAGGATAAATAAATTCATGTTCAAAAGTAACCCATGGTAATGCAGCGATCGCTTTTGCCTTTGGCATGCGTTTGGTTAAGCAAGAAGGCACGATGTTTGTGTGCTCCGCTTGGTGAGATTATCCGTGATTAATTCTCCGTGGCCCGTCCTCGAGGAGCTGGCTTACTTTCGGATTATCTCTCCTTTATTCTGTAAGTGATGAATATGCCCGTTGCCCGTGGTTCAATAACGTTATTTGACAGGGCTCTTTCAATCGATATGAATGTGGTGGTCTGTCTGTCAGAATAAGTGTCAAAAGAGGAAGTAAATAAACTACTATGTTAATAGTTGACATATTTTGAAGTGAAAACTTCTTTAGTAGCGTTGTATACTTTTTTTGTAATGCTCATTTTTTTACAATAGATGTCGCTAGGTGCGCTTAAATGTGATTCATGTAAGTTGATTTTTCTGAGAGATAAACTTTTTAATGTAATATAAATTTTCATGTTTGTGTACGATAGCGCAATAAATAAATATTTAATTCTACCAATAATTAAAGCAATTCGTGCAAAATTATTCCCTAACCATTCTAAAATATCAAAAACGCACAACGTTAATATTCAAGTTTTCACTTCTGCCGGCACTCCCGGAGTGCAACCCATCGTTTTTTTTTATCATTAGTGGTATGTGCTCATTCGTGAGTTTACATGAAAACTATCACTGTTCATCGGAATGCTTATTCAGTTGATGTATCAATCAATGAAAATGATCTTATTTAGGTTTACCAAAAGAAGCTAAAAGATTAAAGCAATACACTGCAATATAGCCTTTAAAATAAACTGTTAATCACGTTAGATCGAAAACTCGTTCAACTATTAGCTGATGATATTCATAAAGATAATTTATTACACCGTCGTTGATCCGTAGTTAACTGTCAATAATTATGAAGCAATTTACGATTACGCTGCATCATAAAGGAAATTATTAAGACCTTCGAGAAATATCTGGGTTAAAAGATTAATTTGACTTGCTTGTACGAGATGTAAGTTGGTTTAGTAATTGGTTTGTGCAAATAACATAGATATTAATAAAATATTAATATTAACACTTGCGACTAACCTCCAAATATACAGAAGACCTTAAACAACATTAACCTTTCGGTGGTGTTAAGTTTCTGACATAAATAATAAAATAAATAAATAAATATTTCCAACACTCACTCCAATTAGCCTAGCCCCAAAGTAAGCACTGTAAGGCTAGTATTATGGGATACTAGGGTAACGGATAGAATACATATACAGTACATATATAAGTATATTTATATAGAAGTACATATTAAACATCCATGACTGGAGTACAATTGCTCGTATTCATCACACAGACATCTGTCCCCACCGGGTTTCGAACCCGGGACCTCTCGAGTCGGTACTACTCGGCCACGGAGGTCGTCGTTCTGTTGGTAATGTTGGTTGGAATAATTTGTTGCACCATATATAAAAACCAAATTGTATCCATTTTGTGTTAAATAGATTCTTAAACTTTTGTCATTCCGAACTAAAAAGTCCGATGGAGAAATTAGTAAGTAAATAAGAATTTTATTATATTTCAAAGAGACGAACCGCAATTGAACAAAGGGTTTTGTTTGGAGAAACAGCTTGTAAACCTGTTTCAAAAACCTTGGTCTACTATCACCAGTCTTACTAGATGTGGAATTTTATCTGAGGTCCCGACAACTCCAACCAGGAAGTCATTACTTCGGCGCACATACCCGTTGCAGTCCCGGCTTACATTCAATTTCCTGCTACACTTGCTTAGATACCACTTAAACGCTAACTCAAAAGCCTGCAAACGTATTTAATAGTAATCTCAAACGATTTTTTGGGTAAATTATTACTGTAGAAATTAGGGAGGATAATAATATACATATATCGTCGTTAATGTTCTCGTTTCATAGATCAGTTTGCTCTGAACGGACTTATGTTGACTCATTAGTTTATATTATACATTATAAAGTTATTACTTTTTTAAAACTGCAATAAGCAAGCGAAACTGTGCAGCAGACGTAAAACAGTAGAGAAATGAAAATAAAAATGGCTAACTCTTCACAATTGCAGTTTTATTGCAATCTGAAAGTATCCGAGGCGGTCATAAACAAAGGGTTGCTTCACTTACAATCGCAGAGCTGGAGTGTGTAGCCATCAAACGGATGGGGCGTCGCAGGGCGGGCAGCGTTGAATGCACGTAGGGTTGCCATCTCTTAGCTTTATCAACCAGGACAAAAGGCGTTAAAACCCCGAATTTTGGAGCCACAGAACCTGAACAGGTCTACAGTTTTTTTAAACTTGCGCCGCCCATATGCTCCTATGGCACCAAGGGCCACTCATACGTTGCCAGCTCTGAAGGAGAAAGGTTTATCCGCCTTTTAAAGACCGCCATATCATAGTGCAATGCATGGTGCTAGAACGCCAAGCGTCCAGATGCTGGGGGTAAAACTTCTCTCTGCGGCGTGGGGTGCGGTGAAGAAACGTCGCCGCTGGCGCAAGATTGAATAATACCTTGAAACACTCCATTGTATATAGGCCGAAGAACACGCACAAGGACGCAACATCTCTGCGCATGCTTAAGGGTTGCACCGCGTCAGGGAGCTCAGGATCATCGATAAGTAGAATTTTCCGGTTTTGTATCCGGTCAAGAGGAAGAAACTGGTATTGGGGTGTATAAGATATGAAATTTTTGGCCCGGACGCCATTCAAAAGCTAGAACAAATCCGGAAAACCCCGGACGGATAGCAACTCTAAATGCGCGTAACGTCCTCTACCGGCCGGCGACCACTTCAACTAGGGAATTTTAAACTCAGGGTTTTACGTTGTATGTTTTATAGGATTACGTGTAGTAGAGATAACAAACACAAAAAATGTTAAACCTAACTTTAAATTTAGTGCTAAAAGTGAGCAGAATATAAATAATATGTATTACATAAAGATAAACAATTGTAGCCTTGTAATACAACAACTTTATCATTTTGTATTACCAGATGACAACATAACATGTTGTTAACTGTTATGTTTAAAACCATAATGTTGGGTTGCATTGTGTGTAATTATTACAACACTTTATTTAAATTAAAATTATAATAAAACATGATAATTGGGTTTTGTATCAGAATAATGTGCTTTGATGCGCTTTCTATAGATAAATGAAATAGTCAGTGAATTTACATGATGACTTCATGATATCGTGATTCATGATTGATAACATTAAGAACGTCAGTTTATATTTAAGCTAGATATTGACTGTATTTGCATAGCTGTAATATCATTAACATCAACATCAAAGTTAATTTTTTGAAGCAAAAATTAACATCTTAAAAAGTTAATTTATACAGTGCAACCTTAATATAACGTACCTCAATATAATGAATTCCTTGATTTAACAGATTCTTCGTAATCCCCTAGAATTTTCCATAAGAGTCAATATAAAATATACCTTTACATTGCGAATATTTTTGCGAACAACCTCTTTATAACAAATTTTCAACTATCAAAAAAAGTGTAAATACCTCTAAATAACGAATTTTGTGAACCACAAACCTCTGTATAACGTTTCCATCAATATATGGATTATATGGCCCTTATCCCATAGTACGTGATTCATGTCACGACAGAAAAATATCTTTTTACCTCTTTATAACAAATTTTAGACTAACCTAATCTCAATACAACAAACCTCAATTGAACGAATTACTTAATATAACGAATATTTACTTGTTCCATTCCGATTTGTTAGATCGAGGTTGCACTGTATATAGCACATTATCCGCGCATGTAGCGTGTAAGTAACATTTACGTCGGGTAAGTTGGTAGTTAAGGTAAATTGTGTTGTTTTATTACGTCATGTCATAATATTAACTTACAACATTAACCAAAAATGTCTGTAAATAACAGTATTCGTTAGTGTCATAAATTTGCATTTTATAGTAAATGTTGACTTGTTGCCAGTGTGCGAGAAAAATAAATGATAATAAATTGGCGTTCTGTGTCCACCGCACAGTAGCACAATAAATACACGGCAACGGCAACTGAGTCCGCACAGCGCATTATTGCGACTTGAAATAGTAATGCGGTTGCTTAAATGAGATGCATGTCTAGACAAAGATTGGTGCCAGTTTCTAGAGACACGAAAATAACATGAAACTTTTATTGTGAGCTATTGTAAACCAGAGACCCGCCCACGCCACGCGCTAGGCGTTCTTTCATTCTCTTTATGTACGTGTTTTGGTTTATTTATCCTCGAGACATTCTCTCCTATAAATTAGCTCTTTGCACGAGGAATTAAAATAGTATGATTTTTGTTGATTGAGTTTATTTTCTATTTTAACATAGTTGTTTTGTAAACGTTTAACACGTCATTAATAAACTCTATAATAAGTCTTCAGAGCACTGTGGTCCCGTAGTCATGCAATTAGACTAAATATTTGGTTAAAGGCATATAGAACAGTAGAGAAATAATAAATTAAGGCTAATTTAAAACCCCGAAAAGGCTGAAGAATGGAAAAGCTATTAAAAGCTGACGACAATGAAGGTGATATCAAGAGAACATGCACCAACGATTACCAATAATTTATTGATGTTAACGAATTTAAATAACACATGATATGAAATCTAGCGAGACGGTTCGTAATGGCTATCGAAACCAAGAAGAGAAGAAGAGATGGCTCAGCAGAATCCTAATAAATATTACTTTTGTAATCTGAAATATGTGAATTTAAAAAAATAAAAACATCTTCTTTAAACTCTTTTTTCCTTTCAATACCGAAAAATATCATAAACAATATTACAATATTAAAACCGGTATTACAATAATCTTCTGGTATTCCATGCTCTTATCTAGGATTAGTAAGTTAAAGCAGATAAAGAGTAAAATATTACATGATTCTACGTTTTATGTCTCAAATCCTAGTCAAATTCGAATTAATGGAACATAATGCTTTAAACGGTATTCCAAATCACAGTATGGAAGACAATGTCCCTCGTTCCTCCTCGGTGCCTCCCTCTAACTCTTTAAATTCAAAGTGACTTTGCCTAGTGGCTGACACGCGCCTATAATATGAACTCAACCTTACTTAACCCCATCCTATCGACGGGGGAACCGGACAGTGGGGTAAAACTAACTGAAACAAACTTTACTCGTTTAAATTTAGCGGGAAACTGGCCGCAGACTTCATGCGTGCCAAAGAAGTTGAAAAACCTTTAAAATGATATTAGTGGTACGGTTAATGGAGTTCTTAATTACTTTTCTACGATTAGTTTTATAAATGGAGTTGTATGACAAAATAATCTTAATATTTAATAACAATAATGAGCATGAGGGGTGAGTACTTATCTAATTTTGACTGATTTCGATTTAAGATTAAAAAATATAAATTAACATAATTCAATCTCAATGAAGTTGTAACAAATTGCACATCAAAGCGTATATTTTATCAAATGATAAAATGTATTAAATAACGGTGTGTTTTGATATCGTTATATTACTTGGAACTCTGCTGTTCTAATTTTCACTGGAAATGAGCGTTGTTACTGTGAGTCAGTTTCCATAAAGTATCACAGTAATTATGTAAATGTTCCAAAAAAAGGCATTTATTTTGGAGCTTTAAGTCTTCAAGTTTCCAAAACTGATAGTCTTCTTATATCTTTTGTGTAAGAATGATTTATTCCAATAAAAGGCAAAACATACTTCAAATATCGAAAACTTTCTTATTCGTCGTCTATTACACATCGTCCGATGACATCACCAAAGTAGCAGAAAGGAACTAGATCCGAATGGCATAACACCAAACTAATTGGGACAGAATGGAGACCTATACCCGAGTCTTTCTACTGTTTATTGTAGTTTTTTGTGTCCTCCGGTAAAGAAACTCTAAAACTGTATTTTCTTAAGAAATAAAAATAAAAAGTACGCCTTCTGTGAAACTGTCCCATGATTTCTTCGACTTCTATTAACTTTGTAATTTGAATCTTTTGAATACATTAAGATTATGTAGAGTCACAAAGTGGAGCTCCGTGGTAACATAGTTGTTTTTCATAGTAACACAACATACCCCGATCTAATACACTAACAAACTTAAGCAAATAAAGTATATTTCTTTCAATGCAGCTTTAAAAAAATCTAGGCATTAGGTAAGATATTTAGTTAATAAAGATGTTCAATGTTGAACTTATAAAATTAAAGATAGTGATGCCTCTTTTTGTGTTTGTATTTTATTTTATTTCCAATTAAACTTTATAATCAAAATACTGAGCCTATATAGATTTTCATCCTCGCACTACGATCCGTTAGCATTTTCATTGGCTTTTCTTGTTACCTATCTATAAATTTATAAAACATGACCTTGTTCATAAAAGAATATCTTGAAACTTTATCGAAACATCCAAATTCTATCTAATCAAAAGATTTGCCATATTTAAAATTACTTTTCATAATTACATAATAATTACTAACTTAATGTATACGACATTAATTTGATAATAATGCCAGTCATCTTACTAAAACAAAAGGAAAAAAGAATCGCCAAGAACTCCGGCCGCGAAATTGGCAAGGCGAACAAAAATGCAAAATTTTTCACTAACTTCTGCGAACGACCAAACACCAATCAATCATGTTTCCACGAGGTGGCCTGGCTAACCGAAAATAGCACGACACTACCAGCCGCCACCACCTGGAATATGTATATAATAAAGGGGGTGGCGGGGGCAAAACGGGCGCGGAAAATCAATAAAGCGGGCTGCGAACATCAAAACATGCCGCGTCCCGCGCACGGGGCCCTACCCCGCTGCCCCCGAGCACTGCCGACACCCCGCCACCCCGTCTCCCGGGGAAACCCGCCCCGTGTTTGGCAGACACCGTCCTTGATCTCCCCCTCTATCCCGGGCGCGCAAGTTTGGATAAATACTCCTATCGTCTCACTCCGAATTGGGTCGGTTATGCGTTTTACTTTTTACTGTCCACCCTTTCGGTTTGCATGTCTAATAGTTAGGTGGGGTAAGGAATTCGCCATGAATGTGAAATGGTCCAAGGAGATTGAATTTGACGTAGCCTCTTTGTTCGAAATATTCTCAGGTTGATAAAGGTCTTTACATACACAACGCCCAGCAACGCCTTGTCTTTTGGGCACCCACTAGAGGTAGACATTTGGCCCACGGGTGGACATAGCCGGTTTAACGTGAAAGCTTGGTAGAAAAAATACCAAAATACCAAGAGAAGACCGCGTCTAGGCACCATTTCCCAATTTCAATATAGCGACCAGTTATATAATAAATAAACAAGAAATTTCTTTTGTATTTTATTTTCGCTAAACATCCCGCTGTCTAAATAAAAAATGCCTATTTCTTTTCAACGCGCAAGCCTCGAATTTCTACAGATTTTACACTAGGTTTGAGTATTTTAATATCTCGAATAAAATTTTGATGATGGATATTTGAATGCAAATTGATTTGCGATATGTATTCAGAAGTCATTTGAGATGAAACTGAAACTATCTATCAAGCATATTGATGAAAGAAAAATTGACCATTTCCCTTCCCAAGCAGATAGAAATAATTTTGAGTGGCAAAATATTACAATGAGAAACGTGTTAACACAACTACGTACTGATTTTATCGATTCGCCGACTTTAAAAAGATCTCCCTTAACATGGAAAGTTTCCAAACCCCTTTTGCAATTGATATTAATGATGTACCAAGCAATTTGTAAATGAATATTATAGACTTGCAAAGTAATAGCACACTTAAAACGGCATTTAAGGTAAGCACTGACTTGGTACAAATGTATATGAAGCTTTGAGTTCTGAAAATTTCAAGAAATAAAAATTTTTGTTCAGTAGGTAATCACTATGTTTGGTAGTACATATTTCTGTGGGCAGCCGTTTTCAATTCTCAACTACCGTAAAAATAATATAACTAAACGAATTATTAATTTTGTGGAGCCTAGTAGCAACTAGGCTCCACAAAATTAATAATTCGTTTAGAGGTCTCTGTGTTCGCTTTTACCATAAATTCCCAAGCAATATTTAAGAGTTAAGCCTGACTAAATTTAAATCGACCATTAAAAAATCTCTTGTTAAGAAAGCTTATTATAAAGTGTCTGATTATATTACAGACAAAAATGCTTGGGTTTGAACTGTTCCAACCATTCCAACGGGTATTTCTATATGATATATATTATGAATCATGTGTTGACGATACTTCTATTGAAAAGCTGTATTTAAATTTGATTACGTAAGGAAGAATATCAGACTATTTAAGAAGATTTGAATGACAAAACGGCGTGGTCATGATTTCTCCATTGTTTTTGCTTTGTAATTGTTTGCAGTGTCCTACAGATAAATGACTTTATTATAAGTAAATATGTTGTGGTTGATATAGGTGGTTATGGGTAGTCATGCTCTCTTAAAAGTCTCTTCGGTGGTGTCGTGTGAGGCGGGTCGTTACGTTCCCTAAAATATGGTTTAGCGAAGTGATGACTGGTTCATGCGTCATGCTCGTGAACGGGTGCTGCCAGCGGAGTAGGGATGCGCCGATCCGATCATTTGAAAGATCGGAAGGCATACGATCCGGTAATTTTCGGATCGGATCGAGGCCATACGATTTTTTGCCGGATCGTTACAAAACTTGAAAGATCGGATCGCTTGGATCGTATGAATTAAAACGCGGTTTGTTTACAATAAATTGGGTAGATACTTACTAAGGTTTCGGTTACGAACTTTATCTTTGTTTACATTTTAACTTGGCGGCATTCTTTGCAGGTGGATCCGTTAATCTTATACATTCTATTATTATAAACAGAAGTTGTTCCTGATTAGGTGTGACGATTATTGATAGGTTTACCAAATAAAAATCTAAAATAATTTGTCTTATTTATTGTATCCAATGCGATCCGATTTCTTGAAGATCGAATTGACGGCATGCGATCCGATCCGCGGATCGGATCGTAGCATTACGATCCAAAAAATCGGATCGACGACCCGGATCGCACATCCCTACAGCGGAGATGAGTCTGCCCTAACTACTTTGATATTTAAGATGTAAATGTTTAATTACACCTATTATAAACAACTCTGTTTGTATTTATACTGTGTGACACAGCAATCAAAATGCAGGTGAACAATTAATGTATAATTTCACATTATGTAATGAAAGGTGACTTCATGAATCATCTCTGAAGTCATTTTTCAACTTGACGACTCTGTAAATGATAAAACAGGGAGAAAAAAACAGCCCTTGCTGAGTTTCTTGCCGGTTCTTCTCAGTACAAGGTCTCCCGCCGTAGATTTACGAACCGATGGCGTAGCTTCTACATTTCTTTCTACATTCATATGTGCTTGTAACAGCCTAAACTGAATAAATGATTTTGATTATGATTGATTATTATGATTACGAAGGCAAAGAGCTAAGCCCATACAGCCTCTTCGATTAAGTTTTTTGTTTTTGTGATGGACTTCACATTCTTGGCCAAGGGATGATTGTTTTTGTTTTTTGTTAATATTATTATATTAATAACTTCTCTTATTTGTATATTAAGTGATTGTCTTGTCTCCGTCCATTGATGTCCAAATTAGGTCTCCCCAGAATATCAGCGTTGCAGTGGCAATCCATTTTTGCCGTTACAACATTACGCTGAGGTGGGATCTCGTTGACGATGGACCTTTTGTTTTACGTTTAATTGTATTTATTGTAATTGTTAATGTATGTCGTCAAAAAATGTTTTTCTTTCTTTCTTCTTTCTTTCTAATCGTCAAATTTGTTTGGAAAAAAGGTAGTTTGTTATTTTTTGTTTTCATAGAAACTTTGACGATAACGTATCGCTATGGAGCTGTCTAAAATTCGTGCTAGCGCCACTGATAACGATTTATAATGATAGAAATGTATATTCGCATCTGAACCTGTCTACAATGGCAAGAGCCAAGTGAAATTTATTAATTAAGTGATAAGCCTATAAGTTAATGAATTTTATCGATTTCTAGTTATAATTCTTCCTTTAATCTTTTACACAATTTCACTCTATAATATTAAACGTCGTATCGAGCGAGCCTTACAGTAGTCGCGTATGATGTGTAACATTTGAAACCTCACCTTATATTAGTAAAAAAAGAAATAAAACCTACTACAAAAGGAATAAGCCATTCGAACATTATGTTCTAAAATCAAATCAAATAGTGCGCGCTTTTGCGACTTCCTTTTACACACTTTCGTTCCATTTCACGAAATCACTCCCACAAATTGCAGGAAAGCGAGAGGAAAGATGTTACACATCAAAAAATGATAGTGTTTTAACCTCTATTTATTACTATCAAATCTATGTAACTACTAAATATGCTTACTAGTATTACTAGATTAATAGCTATGCCCCTGGGTACTGTTGATAAATTGCTTTGCTCGTGTAGGCTTCATTTGTTATTCCGCTATACGTAATTTATATTTATCTTAAATCTCTGCTTATGCCAGCGTAAGCGTAGCGAGGCTTACACCGGGTGTTTTATGCGAACGAGAAATAGGATTTTAAATGTTATTAAAGCTCTATACATTAAAGCAAACAATTCGTACAGTGATGTAATATTTATCTTCATCTTTGTATTTTACAGAATACTTGTATTTTACAGAATACTTCTTTAAAACGGTGTCATAGCAGGGGCTTGTAAATATACTGTAATTTTCAACGAGTAGATCAGGGGTCGCCATCCTTTTGCTATATATAGCAGGACCACAAATGTAAAAAGAGTACTATTTTTTTTATGTACGGACATGTATTTTTAATATTTGAAATAAAAACACATTATGTTTTTTGCCATATATTCATACAATCATGTTTATTTAAATTTAACTACTATCATCACAGTGGAGTTACTATACTAACACAAAAGTAAGAAATAGTGAGATTTTTGAGGCTGAATTTGACTTATAAGTTTTTTACGTCTGCTTTCATTTTAATCGTAGATTGGCGCAGTATCGCGTCTAAATGTTCGTCCGTTAACTGCGAACAATTATTATTTTTACGGTAGTTGAGAATTGAAAACGTCTGCCCACAGAAATATGTACTACCAAACATAATGATTACCTGCTGAGCAAACCTTTCAATTCCTTGAAATTTTCAGAACTCAAAGCTTCATATACATTTGTACCAAGTCAGTGCTTACCTTAAATGCCGTTTTAAGTGTGCTAATAATATTAGCAGGTAAAGTTAACTTATTTTTACTTCTAGTATTAAGTGTATGTATTTCACTATTTTTAGTAAATAAACTAATATTTTTTTGACATATACTAAGTTTTCATATATGTATTGTGATGCAACCATTCATTGTGCCTATTTCTTTAAACTTATCTCTTAATTTCTTCGGATACACAAAAAGAAGAGGGGGAAAAACCATTACTTGAGCTATGTGTCCATCTTACGATCGATTACGTTACTATACGGTGCTGTCAAAAACTCATGCTTGGGCCTCTGGTGTCGCGTTCTGGCATATCCTATATTTAAGTTAAATTTCAGATAATTTCGACAAATAAAGCTTATTAAACAAACGTATGTTATGTACCCTACGTGTGTGCAATGCACATGCACAGAAATACCGAAGCCTGAATGTGGTTCAATACAATGTACCTACCTAGTTGCCTACTCAAACCATGTGTGAGTGAACCACGCAAAGCCGATGCTTTGTACAATTCGTATCACTAATGTCTTCTGTCTATGAAGATAAGCTCTTATGTATTGCTTTTCTAATGAAACTGACAAATGAAAATCAAAGGGACAGACGGACAAAAAAAATTGCAATATCTGGTAACAGTTTTGTAATTGAGTTGGATTTAAGTTTTTGAAAAGATAAAACCATCTTGACTTAACACAAGACTGCACTTCATTAACACAATTCCTCAGTATTGTGTTCCTGTCGTGATTAAATTGAAACCAGAGCTACACGGGGTGGGGGATGAGGTCAGGGTTTGAGGAACGATAACGCGGCAGTGGTACCTTGGCCTCGTCAGTTGGGTATTATACTTGTTACCCTAATTCGGGGCCGGATTTAAAGCAGGGCGGGCGGGACTGTGGCCCAGAGCCCACAACAGAGGTCACCAAACCAGTAACAAAAAATAAAACCATTATAGATTCTAAACTTGCTTAACCTTTTGTTATGTACACATGCATACTACATAACGTACATAGTTAACGTTTTATATATATGGGTTAACTAGTTGGTGCCGTAGCGACTACGTCTGTGTGGAAAGAAAATTGTTTCCTATACAAACTACAACCTGTTCATCCCCATCGAGGATGATTTCTGAAGATCGCGCGCAGCTGCGATCGTATGCGAAATTTACCTTAAGCAATGGTGGCCACTTAGGCGGGGTTTTCTTGTGACGTTAATTAGATAAACTTTGCTTTGCAATTACCTGATAAGGTTGCAGGTTGGCGTAATCAAGAAATTGAAGATGATGATCGTGCAGAAATTCAACTGGTTGAGCGTCCGCCTGCAAGGTCACATCCGCTGCTAGCGGGGTGAATGTCTGCAACAAAAACTTTCTATTAGCTCCGAAATAAAATGAATAATAGAATGTCTAAACATAAACTTCACTGAATGATTTAATTCAGTTCAAAAAAAAATTGGACATTCTAGCTTTAACTGTGAAAAATGCAAAGCGGATAGCTTTTTTTACAGAATCATTAAATTTGAAAAGAGCATTAAATCATGGACTTAAAAAGCCACCTGCTTATGGAACATTTTAAAGTTGTATGAAAGTCTCCTTGGGTACCCATGGGTAATAATTACATGTAAACATACAACAAAAACTTCTATCAAAAATAGTTTCGAAAAAAAAAAACAAGACAGTTTAAGGCTAAGCTTAGTGAGATTCTTCGTCCTAGGTTTAATTCCTAGCTCCAAGGAGTTTTAAACTATAAAATTTAACACATCAAAGAGACTTTATTCCGATGAAGAATATATACGTTACAAAAGACTCTTAGCTAGAAACTTTATTTTGTCTACGGAACTAAATACCTAAAGAAAAAAAAACAGTTTTTTTTATTTCCGTGATTTTTTCCGCGAATTGACAACATTGTAGTCATATTTCTTAAAATAAAACTGAGAAAAATGTCAACAAATTGCTGAACGACAAAAATTCAAGTCAAGAAACACATGCAAGTTTTATTTCCATTTTTTTAAAAAAATCTGATAATTAAATAAGCACGAGCAGACTGTGGTAACAAAAAAAATAAATCCCTACATTTTGTATAGAAGAAGCGTAAATTGTTAATCCACACACGTACTTGAGTCATGAACGTGATCCCCATGCAAAAGGCCTGCAGACGATTAGAATGGAGGTCACTCACAAGTAACAACTACACTCGAGTTAAAGCGGCAACTCGTATTTTTTTGTGTATTAATAAATTGAATCTGATAAAAACAAAAATCTCCCTTGGCCAATTACTTAATTTATAAATGCCATTCTGTATAAGTTTCCGCGAAAACAGCGCGCGACCATAATTTTAATTATAATCCAATAATGATGAAGATAAATTCAGGGTAAATAATTTTATACTATTAAATTTAAATAAGTAGTTGTTTTGTGAGTCGCGAAGGCACACGTAAAAGAATTGTTGGATATCAATTTATTTGGATAATGTAAACTAGTTCTGTAATAATTGAAAATTTCAATACCCATGGCGACATCTATCGACGAGCGGAGAAACCATTACATTTACGACTTGCAGCGCCCTCTCGGAGGGAGATAAATTAAGCATCCAGAATTAGGGGAATGAGGACCGTGAGGAGGGTGCATCAGAACGCAAGTATCACAAAGGGTCGATGAGATAAAATTTCAAGAAGAGTAGTAACTCACCAAAGCAGGCCATTTCACATCTTTTCCATCTACAGTTCTTGGCGCCCATACTAAAGTTCTTTCCACCAAAAACACTCGAAACGTTCTTCGCGAATAAACTGCAACCCACTCGCGCCTTTGCCAGTCTACACCATCATATTCCACTAACACCTGAAACAATGAAGAAAATATTATTTGGTTAGCTTTTTAAATACATAACATCAATGATTTTAGATTAAGGGTTTAATTTTATTCAAAAATGTAAGATCAAAATTAAATTACTTTTGATATTATATTGCGCCATCTAGCGGCACGACACCAAATGACTTTGTGAATCACACCTACACCGAAGCATAGGAACCGTGCTTTGATTTGGTGCTTTATATAGAAAACAGTTTTGCCTTTCAACGCTAGATGTCAGTACACGTATTTAAACTAGTGAGACCACGCCCCGTTTGAGGCAACACCACAACGAACCTACCAATGATAGAGATAAAAGATTGTAGAAAAAAAAGAGATGGCAACAATAACAAATCTACTTTCCGATTACGGTGTGTAGCTTGTATGTAGGTAAAGCATGTAGCAAGAAATCGTAGTATACATAAATGAATAGTTTTAGTAAAAAACCGTACAACAGCGAGTTGGATTCACCCAATGAAGGTTCCGTACAAATTTGTTGGTAGGTACGCAATATAAACGACGTATGCTTCAAGAGACCGTAGACCTGCGGGCCATTCGCCTAACGGGATTGCTATGGAAAAAGCTATCGCTTACGATTTCATTTTGTTATTTCTAGCCGCCTGAGGTTTTCAAATGCCTCGCGTTTTTTTTGCTTGTTAATAACAATATTAAAGAAAAGGAACGTGAGATATTTGAAAACCTTCAGCGGTATGAAATAACAAAATGAAATTGTAAGCGATAGCATTTTCCAAAGCAATCCCGTTCGGCGAATCCCCCCTGACTACAAATATAGTTTTTTGAAAACGATATTCCACGCGTACCTAAGATAAAGGGTCTTGGCTTGACAGACAGACGGACAACAAAGTGATCCTGATACGTTATTAAAAATATCTACTTTTATCTTTACTATCCTTCTATGCTTCCTCTTTCAGACTTCTGCCCGTGCCCCTGGCTGTATCAAATAGCAGCCTCGAGCACGGACAGTATATTATTTAACATGTTGAAATTTGATTAAAATAACATAATTAAAAAGACATATTGTAAATAATCGAATAACAAAATTATGAAAAAAAAATATCGGTCGGTATTCTGGCATGTTTTCATGAAAAAAATAAAACATCAATTATTTATTATAACTAGTATAATCATTAAAGGACAATGGACAAAACACACCCAGCTCCGACAACAATGTAATAAGTATGAATCGATACATCTATGAAAAACTAGCCTTTTTTATTATGACACCGAAACTAACTAAATTAATTCCCTTGTTTCATTAGTGTTCGTTCGTTATAGTACTTGTACATATTTAACTTAAAATAACTAAATACCCCCGGGATGGAATTTGATGCGCTTTAGCACAGATGATCTTGACTATAATACCTTTCAAACAAATGTAGTTTAAGCCCTGGCGGACGTGGGTGCAGCGTCCATACATTTTTGCCCAATGTCCTTTAGTTATATATTAGATATCTACATGTAGCTCTGACGGTAATTCTGATATACGTAGGTACCTTTTTAGGATTAAAATGTATTCCATCATCTGCGGACTGCGGAAAAGTTTAAAAACATACCTACCTAGAGAATTAAATCACTTTTATCCATGACGCAGCAGAGCGTTGTAATTTTTATAAATTACTATTTAGACAACGCCGTAGCAAGAAGCATAAATTAATAATATTATGTTTAACTTAAATAGTTGGATAAAATCATGGTAATGCCTGTTCAGTGCTTTGGCGCTAAGTAGGTAAGTACCTACTTATTTGCCAACATCAAAAGTTGTTTATTATATCGAAGCACTGTGCAAAAAGACACTTTGATGTTAAAAATGTATCATAAAATATTTTCTTGCTTACGCATTTTCCACGAGAATGCTTCCGTATAATCTTTCCATCGATGTTAACACAAACGCCACCAAACAGAAAACTGTAGCCACGTAAACAAATAACGCTCGTGACCGCGAGATACTGTGACAAGGTCGCACACTGCTCATGACATCGGGGCTTCGCTGGAACTGGGGCGAACTGTGCCATGTCAATCGCCTGCTGATGCTTCATTAGCATTTCAACCATTACAATATTTATTCTTCTTTCTTTTATGATCTATTATATATTATTTCTATAATTCAATTACTAAAGAACATGCTTTCATGATCTGAGGTTGGGCCTAACGCACGAATTTTGACAGCTCCGTAATGGTATCGATAACGTCAAATTGTGTATGGAAAAGCTACTTTGTTCTTGCGTCCGATAGGGGCGCTGCTCAATTTGACGATGCGATACGATGACAGAGCTATCAAAATTTATGTTTGGGCCTCTGAATACGTATAGGCGCATGTGGCTCGCCTACCTAAACATAACAACAAAAAACTAAATCGTAGGTCAGGTTAAATAAGTTTTTAAATTTATAAAGAATTTTTAACTCATGAGTTTTCATGAGTTCTTAAACTTAGTAATTCAAATGAATTAGCTTGTTATGTATATAGGTTGTTAAATAACAACGGCATCTATAAATATTTGGAATATTATGAATGATGTTGATGTGTACCTACATCAAGTGAAGATAAACAAAGCACTGCATCGTAAGTAGCGTTTCTGAATACCATTAACCTTCCCCCTTATTTCAAGGAAAATTCGAGTAAGGCATTTTATGATAATACACAATGAGTGCAGCGTTTTATGACTTAAGACACGTCTGATTTCGGCACAGTTATGCAGTGCGGATTAACAATATTAGCACACCCAAACCATCGTTATTATCGTTATAGGCAATGTTCATATTATTATATACATAAAAACAGTAGCTATGTGGTTGAAATGAATAGGCGAGTTGCATGCAATAGCCTTGAATAACTGACAATCGGGTTTCTTCTTTAAGAAACAGTATGAATTCTTAAATTATCGGCCATATGAAATTCGTGATAACATTTATTTATTAAATTGACTTAAGTATTATAATAACGGTTATTTTTCTTTACAAAAAAAAAATTACAAAATAATTTCCTTGACTGAACTCTTACTTAATATTTCGGTGTCAAATTTAATGTTGTATTAAAAAGACAATTACATATTTTATTATTGAAACTTCATGTTGCATTAAAATTTACCTAAGTATAGGCTGTGAGAAGTGCTGATTTTTCCTTATTTTTTAGGGTTCCGTATCTCAGTTGACAAAAACGATACCCTTATAGGATCACTCAGTTGTATGTCTGTCTGTCAGTCGATTATCTCGGAATCTACTCGACCGACAGGTTGAAATTTGGTACATATATGTATGTATACTGACCCAAACACAGAAGAATGTATAAAATACATACATAAATAAATTCCGAATATGGGAGTCACTTTTAGAGGGTGAATTAGAAAATCAAAGTTAACCTAACTGTGCCGTGTTATCAAATAAAAGAGCTCCAGGCATCAAACATTCTTTCATAAGACCACCGAAACTATAGTGTCTAATGTTGTTTAGATAAATGGTTCGGATCTCTTCGTGCGCGAATCCAACACCGGCTTTTTTTAATAAAAAAATAAATCAACGCCCTTTTATTGTAGTGTTATCCAAGGTTCCTTCAGATGAATATATTCCTTTTGTTGCATTTTTTTAAAGCAGTAATCAGCAGGTTTCTGTGTGTGTCATGTTTGCCGACGTTTATGAGAACGGTGGTAAAGCTGACCAGACAAGTACTAAGCAAATACAGGGAGGGTTGAGTTGCTAGATGAGATTTTAAGGGCTCAACAGATGAGAAAGCCTTTGTTACTATGCCTACGCTGTCCGTTAGTTCGTCCAATCCGTCTGTCCGCCAGTGGTTAAAGTCTCATGAAGCAATATATGTATAAGGAGCTGGCGAACAAAACGGTTTAATTACATAAAATTAAATTTTACAGGAGCTGTTTTAAATTGAATGACATATACCTCCAGTGAGCTTTTGGCATGGTTTTTAATTTGTAAATTTAGTAATTTTAACACTGTTTTAGGAGGTTTGATTGAAAATTATTTTAGCTTCAAATTCAACGGGCCCGGAACCTCGGGACTGTAAAAAAAAGTAGTTTGACCAGATGGGCAATTATACCGTTTTATTGTTTTAAACTTTCATGGTCACTAACATTAAAGTAATATAAGTTATTTACGGGATTGTTACCATGTACCTTGTTTTTACTGAGTTTCCGATATTTCGGCACTGTTGCAAGCGCCATGATCACGGAGTAACTGAAGTAATTGCGGATAGGCTGTAATTTTACTGTTGGTTATCTCGACAGAACGCCACTACATACCAAGATTGGTCAGGAAAGCGATTGAAAAAACAAAACATAAAAATTTCAATCGTGAGGACGGGTTTAAATTGTCGAGTGTCTGGAATCCTGTGGTTCGTATGTGTAAAACCGAAAATAATCAAAAAAGTGTCGTGTCGCGATCCGATACTGTAAGTGTTGTGTGTCGAGAACAGTTTCGAGTGAATAGTGAGAATGTGAACAGTGGTACGGGTATCGAACGCAATAAAAGACTTCGTCGGAGGGTAGACCGATATGTCTGCCAATAACAGCCTACCCGCAATTACTTCAGTTACTCCGTGATCATGGCGCTTGCAACAGTGCCGAAATATCGGTAACTCGCTAAAAACAAGGTACATGGTAACAATCCCGTAATTAACTTATATTACTATAATATACCGTTTTGTTCGCCAGCTCCTCATATGTGAATGGGGGGTGATGACGGGGTAAAGTAAACGAATTTCCATTTAGTGCGTCAGTTAGATTTATCAAAAAAAATAGACACACATTTTTTCTTTTGTTATTAATCAACCAAAAATGACAAAGAGAAAGCGCTCCAAATTTTCGGGCTTGGGGCTCGTGACGTCACTTTACTTCTAAGTAAAAATTGTCCCAAGCCGTGACGTATGGCATCATCCCTATTATTAATCATATTATGTAGTTGAATTATAAAAATATAAAAAATGTATAAAGAATAAAAGGATGTAATATAACATATGAGCT